CAATTTTGCAAAAAGAAGGAGTTAGACAACGCTTAACCTCAGCAGAATGGTTGCAGTGAGCGTGATAATCGAACGCTAGTTGAAGCAGCAAGAGCCATGAGACTGGCTCATGAAAAACTGCCTCAGGCCCTTTGGGCTGAATTAGTTAATACTGCTGCTTACATACTCAACCAAACTGGACCATCTTCTGTAGAAAGAAAATCACCGTATGAAGTGTGGTTTAACAAGAAACCTAAGATAACACATCTACGAATCATTGGTAGCATAGCCTATGTTCATATTCCTATGCAGAAACGACGAAAAATGGAAACTAAAGCTGTAATGGGTATTTTCGTTGAATATGAAGGTGACGATGGCTACAGAATTTTGTTCAACTAGGAAATAAAATGCTTCGATCACGAGATGTTATTTTTTGATGAGAAGGTTGACAAACCAAGTTCAGTGATTTTGCAAGAAGAAAGTTGTTCAGATGATACAGTTTCGATTGATGATGAAATCAAAGGTGATAATAAAGAAACTTTGATTAAAGAAAGTATTTCAACTGATGAAGATGTTCACAACTGTTATTCAGTTTCATCTGATGAAGAAGATCAATCTGATTGTTGTAATCAAAAGACCAAAGGTATGGTTTTACGTGACATGAATAATATCAAAGGCCATCTCGTTATGATCCTTTTGTTATGTCTGCTTTATGTGAAGTACTTGAACCAGAGCTACAAAGATGTCATTCAAGGTGATGAAAAAAAATTAATGGTTTAAAGCCATGAACAGTGAAATGCAGTCATAAAAGGAAAATCAAACGTGGGATTTGGTAAATCTTCCAAAAGGTCAAATAGGTCTACAAAGTAAAACACAATCCAGATGGTTCTAAAGCCAGGTTAGTAGTAAAAGATTTTTCGCAGAAAAAGGGAATTGACTATTTGACATTTTTTATTTCATCAAATCAAAACAAAGAAATCAAAGAAATGATATCAATGAAAAGAAATGATTTGGAAATCGAAAAGAAAATATCGTTTTCTTGTAATGATTACCAGTGACAATTGTAAAAATGAGAGCATATTTTAAATATTTTAGTGCATGTAAACTCACATTCATATAACAAATCCTAAAAAACCAAAAATTGAATCATAATTATTAAGTAATCAACTCTTTTACATTTTTATCAGAATGTCGTTTGTAATTATTGAAACACAAATAAATTATTGAAACACAAACTATGAAGAAACCTATAGTCTTGTGGTCAGAAGTTTAACTATAAGAACACAATTAAGTGTTGCTGCAAATGAAAAGATGTCAATCATGTAGTTTGATGTGTCTACAGCATTTTTATACAGCAAACTAAATGAAGATATCTACAAAGAGCAACCTGAAGGTTTTAAAGATAATTCAGGAAGAGTCTGCAAACCCAAGCGAAGTCTCTATAGACTTAAACAACCTCCAAGATGTTGGAACAAACGCTTTGCTGAATTCTTGAAAAAGAGACATTTCAAGCAAAGCGATGCAAATACTTGTTTGTTCATTAGAATACAGGAAGGAAAGAAACTCATACTTGCACTATTCGTTGATGATGGACTAGTTGCACGAACTGATAAAGAAGAACTAAAAATTTTTGAAAAAGAATTTAAGTTAGAATTCAAGATAACATCTAAACCTGCAACATATTTCTTTGGATTAGAAATTAATCAAGATGAAAAAGAAATTATTAAAGTTAATCAGTCATCGTATACAAAAATGATTCTTGAAAGGGTTGGAATGAGCCAGTGTAAACCATGTACAACTCCGATTACAAAATCTGAGGAGTTCGATGAAAACAAAAATGAACACGAGGAAGTGAAATTTCCTAACAGATTAGCTGTTCGTGCATTAATGTACTTGATGACGGGAACAAGACCAGATATTGCATATGCAGTTGGAGTAGCATCCAGAAGTTTGAAAAAACCCAGCAAGTCCAATGTAACACAAGTCAAGCAAATTTTCAGACATTTGCAAGGCACAGCCGATGTCGGTATTGTTTACAAGTCTGGTCAAAACAATATACTAATAGCCTACAGTGATGCAGATCATGGAGGAGATAAATCTAGTGAAAGATCGGCATCAGGTGTAATCTGTATGTTTAGAGGCAGCGTGATCAGTTGGTTTAGCCAACGTCAACCCTCAGTTGCGATTTCAACTACCGAAGCAGAAATCGTTGCCGCAAGTGAAACAGCTCGTGAAGTGATATGGCTCAAACGATTGTTGAATGACATTGTAGATCTAAAGAAAAAGCCAGAAATTTTTGTCAATAGTGAAGCAGCGATTCGTTTAGCACATAATCAAGAACTTCACAGAAGAACAAAACATATCCGCATTTGGCATTTTTTTGTCAGAGAAAAGGTTGCAGGAGAAGGAGTTTCAGTTGAACGAGTTGCGACAGAACTTCAAGTTGCCGATGCTCTGACAAAACCAATGATAGGACCAAGGCTTAAGAATCTGATGTTTGTGATGGGTCTTCAGAACATTTATGTTAAGGTCATCTAATGTTTTAAATAAAAAGAGAAGGTGTTAAGTTTTATGTTTCATTTTAAAACATCATGATTTATGATATACAGTTCTTTTCTTTTGGCTAAATGTTCTTTGCTTTGTATATAACTTCACTTTTCCTTTTTTGTTGTTCCGGTTGATAATAAACGAGTCAAAAACGTTTCTAAGTTTATTTTCTTCTTTTAATGTTTTTCAATATTATATTAATATCAATTAATTAAACGATCTACGTGACAAGAAATTTAACAAAAAATATTTTAATGCTAATTCATCAGACTGGATATTGTAAATACCACTCCACTGAAACTGCAATATTACACGTTTTATCAAATTTATTTCTGCTTAAGATGATCAAAACATATCGGTTTTATTATTTTTAGATATTTCATCAGCATTTGATTGTGTTGACAATAATATTCTTCTGTCTAGATTATGCTCTACTTATGGTGTCTCTGGTGTTGTCCGCGAATGGTTCGGATCATATTTTATCGACTGTACCCAACAGGTTTTATTTAAAAACTCAGTGTCAGATGTAGCATTTGTGTCATCTGGAGTGCCGTAAGGATCTGTTTTTAGACACATCCTATTCCTACTCCACACATCCGACGTAATTAAAAAAAATCAATTCATATAGATATGTTTATCATGTCTTTGCTGATGACATTCAGATATTGGTCACCGGTCCTCCAAACTCGTCTAGAAATAAAATTGACAGATATAATGAAAGCATGACAGAGATTGGTCATTAAATATCAAATAACTCATTAAAGTTGGACTAATGCAAGACGCAGTTGTTTCCAGTTGGAACATGGCAGCAGTTGATAAAGATGAACATTAACACCATCAAAATAGGAGATGTCAATATATCCTTCAGTACAACAGCTTCCAATCTTGGGGTTCTTCTTGATAGCAAACTGTTTATGAAAGACCACATTAAAATGTCTCTTGCATTACACACCTTAAAAATTTATATCGAGTTTGATATTTGTTAGACAGACCATCAATAAAGGGTTTAGTCCATGCTTTTATATCAACACGGCTGGAGTTCTGTACTAGCTTGTTTTATGGTCTGTCTACAAAATCACTCGCGATTCTTCAGTCAGTTCAAAATAGGGCTGCAAAACTTGTAGCCGGTAAATTAAAATTTGACCGTGTGACGCCAATTTTAAATAAACCGCACTGGCTAAAGGTTGAGAAAAGAATTATTTTCAAGATCGCGGTTATTGTATGCAAAGCGTTAAATGGGTTGTTACCAAGATATGTTTCAGACAAATTTTCTAAAAAAGTTCCTGCTGCTCCAAGTTTGCATCTATGATCGGATGATATGAATTTTCTGGTAGTTCCGGTAAAACGATTGCGGTTTGCTTCGAGAGATAAGGCTGTTGCAAGTCCAACCATCTGGAACAGCCTACCGGCATCAATGAAAAGACCTGGAATTTGTCTTTCTTTGTTTTTATTTTCCGCTTGAATATGTTTATGCTTGTATATATTTTGTTTTTTGTATTGCTATGGTCAATCAATCAATCAATCAATCAATCAATCAATCAATCAATCAATCAATCAATCAATCAATCAATCAATCAGTCAATCAATCAATCCAACCAATCAATCAATCAATATAGCTTGTAAAGCGCTATTTCCGCGATGTTCAACAGCGCTCCTCAATGAGTTTTGCAAACAGATGGGTCTTGAAATCCGCTCTGAACTTCGTAAATGATGGAGAAGTAGTCAGAGTAGGTAGAGAGTTTCAGAGAAAAAAGCCAGAAAAAGCAAAAGTAGATTTGGCAAAAGAGTGTTTAATACGAGTTAAGAAGCGAGAACAAGGAAGACGATCGTTTAGATTCAATTAATATATCTGATAAGTACTTAGGAAATAATTTAGATTGAGACTTATACATAAACGTGCAAATTTTAAAAATTATTCTATATTTTAAAGGTAGCCAGTGCAAGAGAACAAGATATGGAGATATGAAAAAAAAGGGACACGAGCAACTAGACGAGTTTAAAAAAGCTTTACTTAAAGGATAGAGTATTGAATCAGGAAGACCATAGCAGAGCGTTACAATAATCAATTCTAGATAAGACTAACGAAGTAACAATAAGGAGAAAGGTAGGATCATCAAGAAAAAGCAAAAGCAAGAACTTCTAGCAACACTATTAATCTGAGAAAAAAACGAAAATAAAGCCTAGACTACAAAACTTGTGAGAAACATCAAGAATTTTAGAATCAGGTAAGATAATAGGTGAAATAGTATTAGAGTGTTTAGATTTATTAAAAACAAATTAATTCAAATTTAGAAGGATTAAGTTTAAGAAACATAAAGTCAGACCAAACGATAATTGAAGAAAGACATGGAGATAGATTAGGAAGAACACTATTGAAATTAGATGGAGGAAAAAAGTATAAATATAAGTATATATGGTGATATTGTGCATGCTTATTTATTTATTTGTGACAATTACGCACAGAAATAATTTTGTTAAATTATTTTAATAGCGCCTTTGGAAAGTTTAAATTGGCGCTATATAAATTTTTTTTAATACATATATATATATATATATACAATTTTCATTTAATTCTATCGCTATAGTATTGTTTATTAATTTTAATTTCACTATTTTTCTAATAATATATTGGAGTTTATTATTTAGTTTATTAATTAAATTAGCAAAAATTTTTACAATATTCTTACCCATATATATATATATATATATATATATATATATATATATATATATATATATATATATTATTAAGAAACATTTATTAAACGCTAATTAAACAATTTCATAAGCGTTCTCTCAAAAACAAAACAAAATGTTATATGTGACTGTTCATGAAACGAAAATCGAAGTAACAAATTTTACAATTTCACAGAAAATAAAAATGTCTTTAGTTCTTTTTTAAATAAATCCAGAGAAGTTCCTGATCTTCTTAACATAGGTGGAAGGTTATTCCAAACAGAGGTACCAGCCACAGCAATGTCCCTAGAACCAATTTGCAAACGCGTGACTGGCACCCTTAGCAGATTCAAATCATCCGACCTGAGATAGGAAGATGATGCTGTTTGTTTTCTGGTAAATTTATTTTTCATGTATTCAGGTGACATGTCATTTATAGACTTGAGCATGAGAACTGCAATTTTAAAGACTATCCTTTTGTTAATTGTCAACCAGTGTAGTTCATTCAAAATCGGTGTCACGTGATCATACTTCAAACCACCAGCAACGAGTTTTGCAGCTCTGTTCTGCACCGACTGAAGGACGGCAACTGATGATTCCGGCAATTTGTAGAACAAACTGTTGCAGTAGTCCAAACGAGATGTGATGAAGGCGTGGACCAACGTTTCCAAAGTAGGTCTATCCAACGAATGTCGAATTTTATACATGCTTCTAAGGTGGATAAGACTTGATGTACAGATCTTTTTGATGTGAATTTTCATTGATAACTTGTTGTCAAGCAAAACACCCAGGTTGGAAGCAGTATCAGCTAATGGTATACTAACATCTCCTATTTTAACAAAACTAAAATCAATTTTCAGCAATTGCTGCCACGTTCCAACCGGAAGTAATTGAGTTTTGCATTCGTTTAGTTTTAACGAGTTTGATGACATCCAACGTCCTACCTCTGATAAACATCCGATAAATCTCTCAACTTCAGTTTTGAACAAACAAGGAGAACTAGTAACCAGCACCTGAATATCATCTGCAAATGCATGGCAGACATATCCGTAGGAGCTGATTATTTTGGTAATTTCCGACGTGTACAGGAGAAAAAGAACGGGTCCCAAAACTGAGCCTTGAGGTACCCCTGACGTTATGATGGAAACCTCTGATACTGAGTCATTAAATGAAACCTGTTGTGTCCGATTTGATAAGTGTGATTCAAACCATCTATATACATTATTCGTTACCCCGTAATTTTGACGCAGTTTTGCCAGAAGAACATCATGGTTGACGCAGTCAAACGCTGCCGGCATATCCAAAAACGATAGTAATGATATTCTCTGAGCATCTGCAGCGGCGAATAAACTTGATAGGACATTCAATAATGCAGTTTCGGTTGAATGAAACTTCCTATATCCTGATTGATTGAGAGGCATTAAATTGTTTTCTGTTAGATGATTCAACAAAAACTTGAGAACAACGCGCTCCATGATCTTTGAGATAAACAGAAGGTTGGATATCGGCCTGTAGCTTGCAACATCGTTGACATCACCATTGTCTTTTTTTTAAATCGGGACAACCGTAGTATGTTTGAACCCAGCAGGAAATTTACCCAACCTCAGGCAGAGATTGAAAAAACTTGTAAGAAAGCAGATAAACAAGTGTATATATTTCTTAAAAATATGCGTCGGAAAAATATCTTGTAAACTTGTTTTTGAAGGAGAATTCATTATGATGCCTTTAAGTTCGGTTTCTGTTATTTCTGGAAAATCTGCCAATGAAACAAGATTTGTAACATGACTGTGATGTGCTGACGGAACCAAAACGTTGGTAGACATTATAATCTTGTTGATCTTGTCTGTGAAGAACTGCATGAATTGAGAAGCTTTTAGGTTGATATTATCATCGGATTTATTACTTTGTTTATTTCTACACAAAACCCTGTTCACAATCTGCCAGTGATTTTTGGAGTTGTTGTTAGCTTTGACCAAATTTTTCCAGTAACTTGAACGTTTTTTAGAATAAAGTTTATTTCTTTCTGACAAAGAAACCAACCAGTCATTTCGATGATCAGTCGTCGAGTGATTTCTATATGACCTCTCCATCCACCTGCAAGTTAGTTTAGCCCGTCGACAATCATCATCAAACCAAGGTGCCATACTTTCTCCTCTGTCATAAATCAAACGCCAAGGCACAAGTCTGTCGACAATTTTTTTTAACTCGTCGTTAAACATTTTTAATTCAATCTCGACATCGCTACTCTGACAAGGCCCAAAGATTGGAGAATCCAAAACAGCCCTAGCCAGTTGATTTCCGTCCAGACTTTTCCATGACCTGACATGTTTTTTTTTACGAAATGTCTGAATCAATAATTCAACTGTTATTAAACTGTGGTCAGACATCACTCCGCTTGGAAATATTTTTATGTTGGTAATAGGAAAGTCACAAGAACTGATTACCAAATCCAAAGTACCACCCAACACATGTGTTGGTTCGTTAATGTGGTTGACTAACTGGAAGGTTTCAAATACCTCACCCAATCGGATGAAATATGGATCATCAGTTCTTTCGAGATGTACATTAAAATCTCCCATGAGCAAAACGTTAGAACCCAAGACTGTAATCTGCTCTAAAACTGAAACCAGTTCTTGAAAAAATAAAACAGACAGTTGTGCTGAGCCAGGTCGATATATAACAATCAGAATGAATGTACTTCCGTTGACCCAAAATTGGATAGCAACAGCTTCAAGTGTAGTAAGTTGTGGAAGAATTATTTTTTTGTACTTGAATTCTTTACGAAAATAGACTATCAAACCACCGAGGCCTGGATCATGCTGCCTAACAAAATCAACAAACTGATATCCAGCAGGCATGGCCAGATTGATAGAAATATTCCCAGCCAACCCGTGCCATGTTTCCGTTAAAACCAGTATATCCAATCCATCACAAAGTAACCCATGAACATCATCTACCCTCTTTGAAATTGACCTGACATTTAACAGTCCAATCGTAACATTGTATTTAACATTAGATCCTTTGTTTGTTAGGTGATGAAATTTATTTTTAACTAATCCAAACAAATCATAGCACGAACCCACTCTACCATTTATTAATTTGACTCTTTTTTGCCGGAAATTTCACTATTTTCCACCTTCCCACCTCCCCTCGCACTCTGTATAAAAACCCTCTTTACAGTTGGTTTCTCTCGCCTTTGCATCATCTAAAATTCTTTTCAGCTCCTTGCGCTGATCAACAGTCAAATCATGACTCAATTTGACGTGTGCAAAATCTTCGTTCAAAGATCTGAGTATGTACAAATTGGTAAAGAAATATTCCTTGCTTTTTACATCATCAAACTTGATGAGGATTGGCCTGACAACTCCTTCACCTCTCTTACCCAATCTAAAAACTTTCAGTATCTTTTTTCCGTTGACAGTGTCATCAGTCAATTTTGCAATCATTTTTATGACTCGATCCTTGTCATCAAGGCCTTCTCCCAGCCTGAACAGCATCGCATTAGCCTCTCTTTCTTTAGCATTGGCAACATCATTTAGTGTTTTTCGGACATTTTTAAGATCTTCATTGATGATTTTAGCACTCTGTTTCACTTCAGTGCTGACCACACTAGCAAAAGATCTCATCATTTCAGACTTGAGGCCGCTTATCTCTTGATTTAACTTTTTTCCCGATGTGAACTCAATCGAGTCCAGCTGCGATTTTATAGCGACATGGTTGGCACTGATGGCATTAACTTTCTCATCAAGTGATTTACTGATTTCATCAATCGATTTATTCAACAGCCCCAAATCAGTTTCTTCCAATTTAGTCTTAATTGAAGCATTAACATCGTTGAGTTTGTCTAACTTTTCATTGAACGTAACTTTTATGTCATCAATAGATTTAGATAACAGTTTCATGTCACAAACGTTTTTTACACATTTATCACAGAACCATTTAATGTTACCGTTTAAACGTACAACTGAATAAACCTCGTCAGACATTGAATCAACATTAGCCGTGCACTCACACTGAAAACATTGAAGCTGTTTCAACGTAAGTACACCGTCTTTCTTACCTGGATTTTGACGTGTATTCATAGTAACAGGTGGAACAAAACTGTACACTGCAATTAACCCGTGACTAAATAAACTCTATGAAAATTCGATTCAAATGCCAAAAATACGCAACTTTAAATATTGAATTAAATTAAAACAGTATCTAGAATTTAAATGCAATAATATGTCCAATTTTCAGAAACAAAATCAACACTAAAACTCTAAAAATCGAGAATCTCTAGCAGAGCGAAAACAATACAATAGCCACGTTAACCATATATGTATATATATATATATATATATATATATATATGACGAGGTTTTGGTTGACAACGTTTTTTTGGTGAAACGTTTCGTTTTTTTTGGATGAAAAAGAGAAACTTCAAAGCCTTTGATTACTATAAATGAAAATGTAATCCAATTAAAGTAAAATTGTATTTAAAATGTTGCGTTTTTAAAATAGGTTAAATAAAATAAAATACTATATAATTTATAATTGGAAAAGTTACGTTATTCCACCTAATCTACTTATTGATCTTCTAAAGTTATTACTGTTGAAAGTCCTATCGCACCCAACGATTCACTCTATTTGCAAATCGATGGCGTAGCCATGGGTTCACCACTCGGGTCGTTATATGCAGAATTTTATATGGCTGAACTCGAATCTAGGATATTTGCAGATCCTACAAATAAGTCTTTAATATACGCACACTATGTTGACGACATACGCTGATATCTACAACCTACAAAATAGATTTCAGAACAATTCTCATATGAAATTTACCATTGAATTTAGCATGAATAAAAGATTAGCGTTTCTGGACTGTTTGATCGAAGTAAAAACAACATCAACAGTTAAATTCTAAGGTTTACGTTAAACCTGCGAATTCAGGTCAAGTATTAAACAACATATCTGGTATCTGATATATATATATATATATATATATATATATATATATATATATATATTTTAATTAATTGGTGGCCTATAAAGTTCATCCATGTTAAACCAGAATGTTATTCGAACTTTCTTTTTGTTTGTGTTTTATTCTGGTAAATAAAAAGTATATTTGCAAATAGCTATTTCGAGTTATAGATAACTCATCTTCAGTGCATTATATATAAGGTATGTAAGATATTTGATAAGAAGGAACAAGTAATTATTAATTTATATAAATTATTTAATTAAAAAAGAAAACAAATAAAATAAATTTAATAACTATAAACAATATAAAACGCGATTTTTAAAATTTTGACGGCAAGATTGTTTATATTATGGTTAAGGCTCAGACGAGAAGCGCGAATTAATTTATTTAATTAACTACATATTCTTAATATTATTTTGACAATATTTAAAAACGTTATTATTATTATTATTGTTAACGTTATTATTATTATTATCATCGCTGTGGTTCTTCTTGCTTCTTGTGATGATGTTCCATTTGCAAGTGATATTTGCGCTGTGGGTTGTGGCGTTGGTATCTACAGTGTTGGCACTGTTGTTGTTGTTATTGTTGATGCTGTTGTTGTTGTTGTTGATGTTGTTGATGTTGTTGTTAGGGTTGTCACCATTGATGAGGTTCCAATTGCAACTGATATTTGCGCTGTAGGTTGTAGCATTGGTATCTACAGTGTTGGCACTGTTGTTGTTGTTATTGTTGATGTTGTTGTTGATGTTGTTGTTGGTGTTGTTGATGTTGTTGTTAAGGTTGTCACCATTGGTATGATTGTTGTTTACATCATCAAAATTGTTGGTGATAACATTGTTATAATTATTGCTGTTATCGTAATTGTGGTTGTTATAATTATAATGATTGTTGTTTTTATTTAGTAGTCTATTTGAAGGTAGAATGTTGTTAGACTGTACTTGAATGTTCATGGAGGGATTTTTGTTTTGTATGAAAATTGATTCAGCTATTTTCAGGTTTGTGATGTTGTTATTGCAATAAACTATTTGCGTGTTATTTAACATTTGTCGTGTTAAAGTTTTGTTATGCTGTTGTTGATAATGTTGTTTAATTGCTCCATCTTGTAGATGCATGGTCAAACGTCTTGACAAAGTGGTAGTTGTCATTCCAATATATGAAGCATTGTTGCGGTGCGAACATTCACCGACGGAGCATTTATATTCATATATTAGATGACTTTGTTGTAGTTGAGTAGTTGCAGGAAGGCAATTATTTTTCATGATTAGTTGGGATGTTTTTAAATTTTGATAGTAAATTCGAAGAACAACTTTATTAATTGGATTTGACGCTACTACGTTTCTGCGTATTATTCCTTTTAAAATTATTTCATCTTCTTTATACGCCATTGAAAAGGTATTTTTGTAATAAAATATTATCTTATTTTTTTCATTCATTTTTTTGTCGATTTGGTTTCTAATGATACGGCTGTTGTTGTTGCTGTTGTTATTGTTGTTGTTATTGTTATTACTGTTTGTGGTGAGGCTTGTGATGCTGTTATCATCAAAGTTATTAGACGTGGTAGAGGGGTTGCCATTATCTTCCTGTTCATTGTTGTTTGGAACGTTGTTGGTAATTGCATTATTTTGATGTATATTTTGTGCATTTTCATGATATTTTTTGGTTAATCTATTTATGACTTGATCAATTTGTTTCAAAGAGTAATTATTGTTCACGAGAAGTTTTTTTTATTCTTAATAATTCTGAGTTGATGAGTGTATAATCAGAGCAATGTTGAAACGCTCTGTTAACTAAAGAAAATATAACACTATTTTTATATTGTTCTGAGGTCTCGCTTTTACCATTAAGACAAAATCCCAAATTGGTGTCTTTTACATAAACTTGCGTTTGAAAACCAATGTCATTTCTGGTTATCAGGACATCCAAAAATGGTAGCTGTTTATTTTTTTCAATTTCATGGGTAAATAATATATATATAATATATATATATATATTAGGGTGTCCCAAAAATGCACAGAAATTTATTTTTAAATAGTTGATGTCTCACCCTCTGAAAAGTGTCTCTTGAGTACAATAATAATAAATTGGTGAAGTTACAGCTCATTTGAACAAGTTTGAGGCTTTCAAAATTTTACTATCGAGTTAATTCAAAATCCATATCAATAATCTTAAACAATATGCACAAAATGAGTGAAATAAAGCTAGAAATGCAAACTAGTTTAATTATCTCACTGTTGACATTAATTAGAGTTTAATATATTATTAACAATTACTTATATAGTGATAATCTGTATCAAAAATTGTTTACCGTGGACGGAGTGGGTTATCACCAACAGCAGAGTCAGCTGCAGACCAACAACTGGACAGTGCAACACATTCAACAGCATCATCCGTTTGCCATGATTCTAATGAAGATGATAAATCTGATGAAGAATTTCTTGTACAATCAGCATGCTCAAGTAAAACAAATTCTGCAACACAACACAGACATCGCAGAGACATTATATCTCCCAAAGTTGCAGCTGTGCTGGATAGGACAAATACCAGCATTAGAAAGTCAACTATGATTCTTGCATCGGCATTCAACAAAGCTGGTGTTCCGATATCAGAGACAATATTTTTCAAGAGTACAATGCATAGATATCGTCAGCGCCGTCGTCAACAAGCTGCAGCTCTTATAAAAAAAATTATGTTTCCTCAAAATCCATTGTTCATTATGATGGGAAACTTTTGATCGATGTTACTGGTGTGGTCAACGTAGATCGGTTACCTTTCCTGCTCTCATCACTTGTCGATGGCGCTACAAAACTTTTTGGAGTTCCAAAGTTAGCATCTGGATCAGGACGAGCAGCTGCAATATGCAGTTCATGAACACATAAAATCTTGGAAGTGTGAATCAATGGTTATTGGCATGTGCTTTGACACGACAGCTTCCAATACTGAAAAACGCAATGGAGCTTGCACTCTTCTAGAAAAAGCCATGAGACATAATTTATTATAGATGGTTTGCCGTCATCATAAGTTTGAAGTGCTGCTTGCCGATGTATTCAATGTTTGTCTTGGACCATCCAATAGACCGGAAATTTTATTTTTCAAAACGTTTCGTGAAAAACTCGGGCATTGTATAGTCTGATATTGGCACAGCTTCGCATCTGATGTTTTTGGTGATGTTGGCCACCACTTCTATTTTTTGATGGATCTGATCTTTTGGAGTCCTGTCTGACTCTGGTCATATAATTCATTGGGGGCCTGTCCGAGTAAAAATGAGGTTGCTGTGATGGAAGCCTGGCCTCGAACTGAGAGGGGGTTCAACTCTGAAATCCTCCAGTCTCCGATACTTGCTGAGCCAACCCCTCAACCTGCCATCGACCAGCACATGCTTCCTTGAATATTTGAGAAAAGCCCAAAACTTTTCCAGGCCATATAACTGGCCACTTTGGTAATCGCTGATGGTCTCTTCTTGGAAGTGCTCAAACAAGTCAGGTCGAAATCTTTTCTTCAAACAATAACTATAGAACCGAAACAGATTTATTGGCATCTTCAACGGCAAGTTGCTTGAATTTCTCGTACATTTTTTGGTAAAAGTGGTGACGAAGAAAAAATGGCCAAAACCTGAAAAGAGTGTTCATTTCTGTAGACTGCCCGATCCCAATCTTCCAACGATCCTTGAGGCAGTTGGCTCAGTAAGAATTGTACTTGTTCCAGATGAAATTGTTGTCCTTCAGTAGATTATGGGAAGGGTGCTCCAACGTTACACACGCCACTGACAAGCTTCCTGAAACTGTGTGAGTCCTCTCATTGTCAGTCGATGATGCTAAGGACGCATGTGTTGACGGAAATCCTACAGAAACTTGTTTTGATGTCGTCGGCTTTGCAGGGGTTTTGAGGCTCTCCGGAAAATTCTCGGCATTGGACGATCTGGGTGGTAGAGTTCCATCAGAAGGTTTATGATCATATCTTGAGGAGCTGATGTTGTCATTTTTTTTATAATTTGTTATTTCATCATTAGTTTGTTCCTGATGTTGTTGCGGTTGCTTCTTTGGCTGCCTCTGATGTTTTTGTTGTGGTCTTTTTGTTTCTTTGTTCGTCTCGAAACGTATGACGTTTCTAGTGGCCGTAAATGTATCTCTACTTTTCCATGTAGAGCGCTTTGCTATGTGACACGTCTTTCCGCAAGAAAAACATGTCTGTCTGGGGGAAACTCTTTCGTTGCCATTACTCCTATACATCTGGTGTTTGTTTTCTCGAGTCGATTGTATCTGATTGTTACTGTTAGACATATATGCAGTGTCACTGGAAACTATCATGTTCATGGCAGCTTTATATTTGTCGATTGTCTGTGCCAACACGTCATGACTCATCCAGGAAGACGCTTGTTCTTCTGACACGATAAATTTTAGTGTATGCCTTGATATCAACTCTTTTATTCTACATATCTGCACATATCAATTTTATTGCATCTTCAAATCCCATAATGTTACGGCTTTGAAAATAATGGTTCAGCGTGCCATATAATTTCGCAAAAAATTCATCTCTCAATTTTGTCTGGTTTAACTTGAACTCCAGTAAAATTAGTTTTTTAATTTCGCCATAATCCTTCAAACCGTCGGCAGAAATAGTATGCAACCATGTTTTGGCCTTTTCGTTCAAACTCACTATCAACAAATTGGCTTAAATTTCTCCGTCTACGTGATAGTTTTGAAAAAATTTTTCTACATGTTCAAAGAAAGCAGAAATATCTCTGGGTTCTAACGGACAAGTTCCTATTTATATGTTTTAATGACGCCATAAAGAACCGAGTTTGTTGCATTAGTTTAATTGTATTATTATGCTCAGTAGAATCATCGGCTACTCTTCGATACATTCTACTTCTAGTCGTCGAATCTCTAATTTTTGGCTTTTAGGCCGAAATTCTGCTTCTCTATTTTTCGCTGTTTGTCCATCTCTGCTTCTCTGAGTTTATATTCTTTCTCATCTTTTTCTTCATCTCTTTCTCGCTGTCTGGCCATTTCTGCTTCTCTAAGTTTATATTCCCTCTCATCTTTTTTCGCTGTCTAACAATCTCCGCTTTTCGAAGCTTATATTCTATTTCTGTTTTCTTTCGTATAAAGTCAATCCACCATCAGTATCTTCCGACACAGCGCCCTCCGTCGCAATACAGCATGGAGATTCAACGTTGTCCGCCAAAATTGTTGCCCACGTTTCTAACAGTTGTGATCTACTCATCAATCGCACACTGGATTCGTCAATTGATCACTTTAGTAGTTTTTTCGTTATCTGTTCGTTTGACAGACTTGTAATTTTTGTTGTTTCGTTTTCGTCAATCGATCGATTGTTATAATGAATGAATGGGAATAACTTGCAATGAACGTGCAATGAATGTAATAATTTATGACTAAGTATTTAAGTAATTTTTTACACAAATGTCAAAACGTCCTATTAGTTATTTAATTATCTATTATTGTCGTACACCAATTAAATAACTACCCCACTTCTGGTACCAATGTAACGGGTTCGATATGAACTAAACGCAACAACCGATATATTACTAATTTTCCTTTATTAAAACCTAACTAAATAATTAATCGAATAAATCAAATTAACGAAAATGCAACGATAAAATAACCAACCTTACTAATGTCAACTCCGCCTCAAGAGCGAAAGAAAAGAAAGAGAGCTTAACTCATTTGGGCAGGCTATTTATAGACTTGCACGGCGCTCTCTCCTAGGTAAGCACTCGTGCTTTGTGCTAGTAACTAGCCCACGTGACCATGTAGTGGAACAATTTCCGTTACAGTTGTGGTTGTGCCCAGATGATCATATATTTTTATACTGTGCCTATTTATTGGTTCCTAGTTTAACCAAATCAATTTGAACTAGGAATAGGAATACCGAAAAAAGCTTTTCTGTTAAATCATGCATAAAGAAACTTGAAAATGATTAACGATCAACCTTTAGAAAAACCGAAAAGTTAAATTGGAAATTAACTAACGCCGAATCTGCTGTGAGTTTCATCAATATATATATATATATATATATATATATATATATATATATATATATATATATAAACATTTTCTTAACATTTTTAACATAATGTGGCTATACTGATATAAAAATATTGAGAGAATTAAATAAACAATAAAAATACTTTACTTTATTTTATTATATTCGTTTATTTTTACCTACATAATTTATTTTAATTTATTTAATTCATTCTAATTTAACTTATAATATAACACTGAACTTTATTATTTTTTATTTTTGTAATTCAATTCATTTTTTTTATTTTAGTCAGTTTAGCCATTTTGTTAGTTTTATTCCTATAATATTTTTATATCAGTATATATACATAAATTTCTAAATTTCAAGGTTCTGAAGATTGCACCCATTTTGATACAAATGTTAGATTAAGATGATTTGCAAAATTTCATCGTACTGAATGTAGTTTTAAAAGATTAATTAACGCTAAATGGACAAAATTCTCAACAAACTGAATATATATATATATATATATATATATATATATATAAATTATAATATATAATATAAATATTATTTATTTTTGATGTAGCAAAACTTAAAAAAGTGTAATTAATCCGAATTTTAATTTTATACCTCAGTCATGATGTTACAAAATAAGATTGTCTTAAATAAAAAAATGGCGTAAAATTTTATAATAAAATTTGTACTGACTAGACATTTATATTTTATTTATATCTTAAAATATATTAATTTTGAAATAATTTTTTAAAAACACAACTAAAATTTTCAATCAAATACTTCAATGACATAAGTTTCATTTCTCGTTGATATTGAGGCTACAATATTTTTTCCTTCCCAGTACACATGTGATAATTTATTTGAGGGTTCACCTTGGCAAAAATTTTATAAATGTTTATGCAATGATTTAATAAATCTACCAATTAAAAATGTGTAGCAAAGTATATCTTTGTTAAATTTAAAAATGTTTTATTTTTCTCATTGCTTAAAATTCCTGTAAGAGGCTATGGTCGGCAGTTAGCTCAGTAAAAGTCACGCGTTGATATTGCACGATGACATGTTACAGAATACCGTCTAAGTCTAAAATTTAAAGACTATTGTTCGCCATGCGTGTTTGACGTTGTGTTTGTGCGTGTATACAAAATGTGTATGTAAGTCGTATAGTGTGGATAGCACTTCCACCCGCCAAAATACAACTATATTATAAATGTGCTCCCGTGCTAAATTTGAGCCATCACGGACAGGTTTTCACCCGATCAAGGTCAAATTTTGCGTAATTAGTCTCATTAGTACCCATTATCATCGTTCAAACACTATTACAAAAACGCAATGACATGTGCGTCTCCATGTCTGGTTGGTATGAACAAAACGCAAAATTTCGATGTTTTATTTTTTCGTGTAAAACATTTTTAGAAAAGCTGCAAATAATGAAAGTATATCTCTCTGAAAAAGTATCCCAAAATTTTGAGCGGGCTAACTTGTGTAGTCTTTTATTTAGTGATGCTCTACTTCGAAATGTAGCCGCGGAGCACAATGTTAACATGATGAATGATGAATGAATGATGTTTGACGTGTTTTGACAGTGTTGACAAACATGTAGTTGTTATAACTATGACTATGTTTTTACATATCATGCTGATTACATGATAAAAATTATAACGATTTTTAAATTTTTAGTGGTTAAGACAATGTAAAGTTTGGATATTATTATAAAGAGAAATGTAATTTTACACATTACATTTTTTTTCATAGTACTAACAAAAAGAGTTTATAAAAAAATTTATGGTTCCGTGTAAACAAATATGTTTTGTTATTACGTGAAAAATGTCACGTGAGCATATACCCAGTTAACAAAGCTTGATGGTTTACAATAAACACCAAATTCATATATATTTTGTTTTTTGTTACTAAGTTATTTTTTATCAAAAATTTGTCAAAAAAATTGCAGATCATGAAAGCCGCTACATGATTATTTTGAATGTTTAAACTCTTGATGTGGATGGTACAGTTAAAAAGGCATTTTACGAATGCCATCGATCTATTCTTAAATTGGTTTCTTGTGGTGACAAACTAGTCGATTTTTATGCAAGGGTTGGAAAAATTTCAATAAACGAGCCGGTGTTATTCGTAGACATGGTTTGGGAAGCAAAAAGAAAAATGGTACAAAACTTCTTAACTTCTGTGCGAAGTTTGAATTGGTAATAATCAATACTTTGAGCAGCAAAATCAACGAAAAACAACTTGAACTCATCTATGATTCAAGCATTGGCATCTTTTGGACTACATCACCACCATGTCCCAAAATGTTTCGGATGTTTTACTAAAACATATTATTGCTAAATTACAAAAAGTTACATAAAATATTTTATATATTTTTATTTTATTTTAATTTTATTTTTTTTTTTTTTTTATTTGTTTGTCGAGGGTTTATGCCCGTGCTACTTAATATAATAATAAGAAGCAACGACTCACCTGTTTTTAGTAATTTTGTTATTAAACAAGTAACAATTATTATGGAAATAATTTTTAGATTAATGAAAGAAACAAATGTTGGGAATATAATGTTATACTCAAACAAATGTTGTGAATATAATGTAATACTTAACGTGATGTGTGTGAGAGTGAGTGAATGAGTCTTTCTTATTAAGTGAAAGAGTATATTCAAATTACATTAATTTCATTTTCTATTACTAACATAATAATACACACATAATACACTATCAATTCTCTAAAGATCAAGCATCTCCCCACTTTGCTAGACAGAAAACCGAGTTCCAATAAAGAATCAATGAGGGTTACGGTTAAATCACATCAAATTATGTTATGCAATTACAAAAGAAACCTCCGGAGGTAGAGACGTTTTACACCCCAGCATTTAAGGGATTTAACACATGACAAATTAGAAAAAACAGAACCTATCAATGCCATGAGCGGTTTTATCAATCTGCTGTTAAGTGGCACTTGTCCACCCAAGGTGGTTTCATACTTATTTGGCAAGAAATTGATGGCTATGTTAAAAAAATAGAAGCATCAGACCTATTGCCATTGGATGTGTATGGAGATTTTGGACTGCAAAATGTGCGTTATTGGTCATCAAGGACAGGGTAGGTCCAATTCTCCAGCCTCAGCAGGTCGGTGTCGAAATTAACGATGGAGCACAGGAAGAGACACACTATATCTAGCAATTCTTCGATAATATGAAGGAAGATGATGGTTTTATAAAACTTTTTCAAATGCTTTCAATTCAATTCTTCGTGACCATATGCTTCAACGCGTCAAGTCTCGGCTCCCAGAAATATCTAATTTTGTTGGTTGGCGTTTCATTTCTGTTTCATTTCTGCCTCTTGGTAACAGCATAATTCATTTATCAGAAAGTGTCATTCATCCACTAGTCAAGGCATTTTGATCCAAATTTATTGTCGTATACTTGGATGACATTGCATTGGGCGGATGTGTAAAGAACCTAATTGATGATGTTGAGTTGATCAACAGTAACGGTTGTCATTATGGTCTCAAACTGGATTTGAAAGAATGCGAAATCACTACAAATCTAACGGCGTTATCTCTTGCCCAAACAAATATTGACAGAATTGAAATAAATGACCATGAATTTTTGGTTCGATCGTTTGTTTGGGCCAAAAAACTGAAGGATTTTAAACATATTATATCTATGATGACGGAAAATAGCAAGCATGATGCCCTTGTTCTGTTGACGCAGACAGCATTCATCCCAAGGCTGTCCTACTTTTGCTAACTCTCCGAGCCCGTCTCAACAGATGTCAGATGATTTCGACGCCAAACTACGCATGGGATTTCGGACCACATTTAATATGACAATAAAGAATGGAATCAGGCTGTTCTGCTGGTCAATATAGGTGGTCTGGGTTTGGATGTCTTAAGAAAAAGATCTTACCAATGGACGTAGTATACTAGGATGACTTAAGACGTGAAAAATTTTAGAGCTTGTGCACGGTTTACGGTGATATAATAGAAATAAAACTTTGCTCACAAAAGAAATGAAATGAACCATTTTTGAAAATATTGAAAACGAAACTGGAAGAATTAAATGACTCATCTTCAAATTAGGGATGAGCGTGGAAACGGAAATTGCAGGAATCTCATGGTTCCATGGGATTCCCATGAGAATTGGTAAAAACTAATTTTCGTGAATGGAAATTTTAGGGAACAAAGAATCACTGTTCAGGAATCGGGAATGATGGACGGGAATGGGAAAAAAAAGAAAAAACAACATATACATGCTCAAAGTTAAAAATCAGTTTTTATCAAAATTAGGTTATCTATGCAACTCAACACTTGCCCATGTGCCTTAACAAAGAAGAAAACCAGTTGAAAGCAATGGAGCCAGAAAGAAATTTCACGCTATTGTATAAATATATATATGTGTGTGTGATCGAGACATACATATTCACATGCGTGAAAGTGTGCGTGAACAAAGAAGATGCAAGCAATAGAGCTATAAAAAAAAATTATATAAAATATATACACCTATCTCCCAATTTACACGGCGCTTGTTTTACACGTTTTCTCTTTTACACGGTTTTCCAAAAAAAATTTTTTTGTTTTCATCGCACTCTACTAAATGCTACTGTGCTTGAACACGTGCTTGCTTGGCTCAATATGAAGAATTTTACATAGATCTATCAAAAAATTCGAAGCAATTGTTAATAACCGATTTTATTACCACCTCTCATAATATAAACATTTCTGCTTCAAAAATCGAATCAACACAAATAACTTCGAGTGATGAAAGTGAATTCGAACCTTCAATTCCAAAAAAAAGAATGAGAGTAATTTCTGACAGTGATAATAAAACACCTTTGGTTTTATTTTTTGTTCCTCTGTTTAATGTATTGTAATTAAATAAAAAAAACAGTGTTTCCGTAATATATTACATATTTTAACCTGTCAATGCATTTTATTTTTATTTCTGTGTACACCTAAAAATATTGAAAAAAATCACAACTGTTAAATAGCAAAATTATGCATTTTCTGCAAGCTTTTCGATTTACACGGTTTTGACTTGAAAATTTTTAATTTTCGATTTACACGTTTTTCTCAGGAATTTTCTCACGTTTTTATCTACCGTGTAAATCGGGAAATAGATGTATACGCCAACATGTGGTCGACACAAACGCACATTTTTGGTCATTAGAAATTCATATTATGCATAGTATGAATATTCCTGAACATGTTTAAATTGTTTTAATTATTATAATTGTAATTTTTTATCGTTGTCTTATTACTTTTTAAAGCTTTTGAATTTTTATTTTGTTTGTTACTAAAAAACACGTTCTTGATATTTGCTTTTTCAAAAAAATTGTTTTTGGTGTTCAAAAATTTGCAAAATGGAAACAAAAGGGAATGGGAGGGAACGGGAGAAAAAACGCGGGAATAAATTGAAAAAATTGGAAATGGGAATTTTTGAGAACGTTGTCATAAATAGAAATATGGAAAGGAATCGGGAATGACAAACAAAAATGGGAGGGAATTGGGAAAAAATTTCATTTCCCTCTCACCTCTACTTCAGATAAAGCCAGATTGATGGCTGTTAGAAGTGAATTGAGTTTTGCTTGGATAAGGTCTATTCCCGGTACGTCATATGGTACCGGCAAGACTTGACAATTCTTCCATTAGAGTAAGTTTATGTTTGAGACTTGGGTTGCCGGTAGTGTCAAGTTACAGATGTTTGTGTGGAGCTGATGTTTCTCAACTGAGTCACCATGGCCTATCGTATAGGTTGGGTTTAGGAAGGCAAACAAGGCATTCTGCCATAAATGATTACATATGTAGATTGTTCAAGAAAGCATATATATCTGCCATTAAAGAACCAGCAGGCTTACTATCTGAAAGTAATGAAAGGCCAGACGGTTACACCCGAGTGCCCTGGTCCCAGGGTTGTTGTTTTGTCTGGGATAAGACGTTTTGTCACACGCTGCACGAAAAGTGCATCAATTACATGGCTATGGAGCCAGGTTCTGCTGCGGTGAAAACTGCCGATTTTAAGAAAGCTAAGTACAAAGATCTTAACGACAATACGTGAGTATTTGTTCCAATCTTAGTAGAAGCATTTGGTCCAGTTGATTAAAAAACGCAATTATTTTTTGATAACATAGTACTAAAATTGTTGATAAATCCGGTGATCCAAATGATAAAATTTATATAAAACAAAATATATCGTTATTGTTGCAAAATTATAATTAATTTTGTATTTTAGAGAATATTGCTAACCGCCCTTCTGTGCAAGGGTGTGAAATGATGGTTTTTATGGCCATCGTTTTTAACCATGGGCTTGTACATACACTTTGTGTGTTAATACATGTGTAAGTGTTGTGTGTGTGTGATAATACATGTGTATATGTGTATGTGTGAGTGTGTGTGGTGTTATATCCAATTCAATTTATTGTCGAAATCTCTTGATGGTTTCATTTAAAATAGCATTTTGTTAAATCATTTCAATATTTTATTGTCGGTTACGCAAAGAAAAGCATGATACGGGAGAAATACGATACTGTCCCACACAATTTAAAATGGTTGGTGACTGTTCAAATGTTTAATTTAAAAAATTAAAGCATTATAAAAATTATAAGAATTATAAAAAAGAAGGTAGTCTAATTCCCATAAATGTTGGGTTAATAAATATTATTAAATTTCAAAAAAAACTAAAAGTTGTTTTTATATTTTTTTAGTCAGAAAACAATAATTACCTTGAATAAATCCAGAAAATATTTCAATTTCCGAATTATCAATTATTCTGCTTTGTGATTTGCCAGCCTCCACCAAGAGTAAGTTATCGCTCATAATGTCATCATTCTTTTTTAAACTGATTATTAACTCTCTAAAGATGAAAATAGTTTTATAAAAGTTATTGCATAAAACAACGAAAAATCTTGAAATTAAATATTAGTAATATATAATAGCTGATAAAAACGCATTTTATCCGCAATATAATCTTGTAAATATAAATATATATTTGTAAAATTAGGGAAGACGGTTAAGATGGTACTAATGAGAAAAAGAGATTGGAAAAAAAAGTTTGTAGACCTGCAAAGAAATGGATAGACGACACTACCGAATGGACTGGTGTTGGTATTCTGAATTCAATAAAACTGGCAAAAGATAGAAAAGGTTTTTGGAAAGATAAAGAAAAGAAACGTAAAAAGCATACTTAGATGTAAACCATCTGCCTCGACGGTCTCTGATGGACAAAAGAGGATCATTGATTGATTGATGATATGATATGATATGATATGATATCTATCAATTAACTTTGAGCGCGTTTTTGAATTTTTCTTTGATATAAATTTGTATACAGCGGGATAACTGTTATATTTTAAAGCTTGACGTAAATTTTGAAGATGTGAAATCAAAAAAAATTGAAAAACATCGGTGTTCAGGATGTTTCTATCACCACAATTTTTAAAAACTATGGTTTATTACATTGATTTATTATGCCAAAATTGGTTCCAGTCAATCAATCAATCTTTGTTTAGCGTCCAGAGAGCCAGTTCCCCGAGGTAGGACGTTGTTTTCTTTGCCATCGATTTTTTGCGCCAAATTAGACGATCAGTTGTACCCATTTCATTTAAATTTAGTGCTTTCATGTCTTGCTCGATTGTTTGCGACCAGGACTTCTTTGGACGGCCTTTGGGACGTGTGCCAGGTACTTCAACATCTGCAAGAGAAGTTATGACATTGTTTCTACTTGTTTGACAAGACCAAACCACCGCAGACGATGTTGCCGGCATTCGTCCTTTATATCATTTAAACCAGCACGGCGCAGGATTTTGGTAGATTTGATGTGGTCCTTCAGACTAATTCGTTGCATCCATCGGAGCATTTTCATGTCGGTTCGTTGAAGTTGTTGTTCCAGTTTGGTTGTCATTGGCCATGTTTCTGCACCATATGACAACACCGGACGTATCACAGATTTATAAAGTCTTGATGGTAGTGGTAGTGGGATGTCACGCCGCATCAATATAGAGGCAAGGAGATGCCATTTATTCCAGGCTGCACGTATGCGTGCTCGAACGGCAGCTTCAGCTGTTCTAGTACAATCCAGAACATCCCCTAGATATTGAAACGATGTGACTTTCTCTAACTTAATGGCTTCAAAAACATTGCTATTTCGAATTTGTTGTTGTGGATTGATGTAAGCAGGACAAACAAAATTGGACACTTTGGATAAAGTACCAATTATTTTTGAACAACGTTTGTGACACCACTGGTTACACTGCTGACACTTGATTGAATTGTTACCTACACCAGCTTTACAAACTGAACAGGGCCATCGTCCAGTAGATGTGGATTGGATGGGTTCACCTGTGTTCATTGCTTTGGTTTTGCTGATGTTGACTTTGAATCCATGATCGGCAAGTCTGGTGTTCCAATTTTAAAACATCTGTGCTGCATTCTGCTCAGACGTGGCTGTTAAAACGATATCATCAACATATATTAGATTCTAAATGTCATCACTGCGTATCGGTTTTGTGATTTCTTCCATCACAGTTATAAATAACAGTGGACTGAGAATCGAGCCTTGGTGAACTTCAACGCCAATGTCAAATGCATCTGTGTTTCCAACCGTTGTGCTGACAAGAGTCTTAGTATTCGTATACATGTCCATCACAAGTCGAACAGGATATTCTGGAATGAGTTGTCGACGTAGACTCCACCTGATTGCTTCACGGGGAACTCGATCAAATGCTTTTTCAAGGTCTACAAAAATGTGTGGTAGTTGTTGATGCTTTGCGAGGTACTTCTCTTGCAGTTGCCGAAGGATGTGAATTGCATCAATTGTTGAATTCACCGCTAGGAAACCAAATTGATAATTTCCGATTGTGATGCACGACATTAATCTTCTCTCAATGATTTTCTCGACAATTTTCAGGGAGTGTTCTAACAGACGTATACCCCGATATGATGAACAGTTCAATGGATCACCTTTGCCTTTGTATAGCGGGACTGTCATGCTATAGTTCCATTCAGTCGGCATTGAGCAATTTCTCCAGATTTCACAGCAAAGTTGTAATAACGTTTGGATACCTGCAGTACCAGATGCTTTGATAATGTCATTTGTGAGTCCAGAGGGCTCTGCTGCCTTTCCATCCTTCATAGCTTTCAGAGCTTCTGTAAGCTCTTCTATAGTGATGTCTGGAATCGGACCTTTGATGGGTGGAGCATCAAAGTTAACACTGATGGGATTTGTTTCGTTTAACAGACGGTTGAAGTATTCTCTCCACTGAAGCTCGATCTTATCTTGTTCAAGAACCATCTCATTTTTGTCATTTTTGATACATGAGGCACCAACTATGTCTTTTTTGTACGCTTTGCTTGTTTTGCTATACGATATAGAGATTTCATTTGTTCACCTTTGCTTTTAGTGAGCCACTCTCTGCACTGATCTGTCCGAGCCGGTTTGACTTGACGTCTTGCATAGTTGTTCTTCTCACGGAAAATTTTATGGTCATCAACAGACTTTGATTTTTGCCATTGCTTGTATGCAACTTTCTTTTCAGCTATTGCATTTTGTACACTGTCATTCTACCACCAAGTGTCACGTTTATGCTGACGTTTTGTACCAGTTTTCCCACAAACTGTAGTTGCAGCGTTTATCAAAACTGTTTTGTATGTACTCCAATCTGTATTGGCTTGCGATCGGTGGTCTAACTGTGTGGTGACAATCTGTTGAAATTTTTCTCGATGAATATTGCTTTTCAGCTTCCACGTTTTGATTCTCTGAGGCATTTGTTTAGACTTGTTTTGACAGTTCGACAACCAGGTCTGCCACAAGGAGTCTATGTTGGGCGACACATGATTCGCCAGGTATAACTTTGACGTTTTTGAACAGCCTTCGGTGTGGTTGCTTGACAGCGAAGAAATCAATTTGCGTGGCTGATGGTCAACTTTTATATGTTATGAGATGTTCCAACCTCTTTCTAAAATATGTGTTCAGTAAACAAAACCCGTGACTTTCAGCAAACTCAAGGATGCGGTTGCCATCTTCAATCCGTTTTCCATAGCCAAAACCGCCATGTACGTTGACAAAATCATTTGTTTTCTCTCCAACGTGGCCATTGAAATCGCCTCCTATCAGGATTGTTTCAGATTTTGGTATTATTAATATGGTGTCAGAGAATGCAGCCCAGAAGTCATTTTTCATCTCTTCTGATTCGCCTGTCTGTGGTGCGTATGCAGAAAAAAATAATCATTTCTATGCGAAGCTTGATCCACATGAGACGTGAATTAATCCTTTTAATATCTAGTACTTCTTGGGCTAGCGGTTTTCTGACAAAAATTCCAACACCATTTTTTACCGTCTTTTGACCATTCCAGAATAGTTTATATTTTTCTTTGTCTGAGTTGACATGACAGACACCATTCGATTTCCATCGGGTTTCCTGAAGGCAGCAGATGTCAATCCTTCTACGCTCGAGCATTTCTGCGATTTCCATGCTGCGGCCAGTCAGTGTTCCAACATTGAGCGTTCCAAGTCTAAGTACCATAGAGGGGCCATTTTGAATTTTTTTGCAACATCCCTCCGCTATTGCATACTTTTCAGGTATTCTTGGCACCCCTTGACCACTTAAGGCCTGCTGGGGACTAGGGGCCGTTGTTTTTCTTTGTAATAGCATAAGAGTAATTTGGGGAAAGTTTTTACATCCGGACACCCATCCTGACGACAACCACCAGTTATAAGCGGTGGGCCTAGCCTTTTGCTCAAAAGCACGCAAGGCAGCGTGGATGCAGTTTTATGTCATGCCCAGGACATGATGCTGGAATGAAAAACTTTTAATTTCACAGTATGGGAATAGAAAAGGGACGTGTGTCTAGTAAATTTCGTTTGAATGTCATTGCTAAAAGTAAAAAAAATCGGTAAAATAATTAGGCAGCTGTTGACGTAAAAATTTAATACAAAAATTGATGTGAAGAAATTCTTTAATTGGTAAAATGTTGACTGACAAATAATAAGCATTGGTTATGTGAGTACGCAGTGGAAGAGTCAATATTAGTCTTATAAACCGATTTTGACATTTTTGAAGA